TTCTGTGATTCTGTGATCTGCTGCACTGTGGAGAGAGAGCTTCCCACTCCCTTTTGCAAAGACTCAGCTATGCAGGCAGGACAAACCATAACCTACCCAGCTCACTCTGACCACTGGCTGCTTGACTGCCCACAGGGCATCCAAAGAGTGATGGATGGGCAAAGCTGCTTTTATATGTTGATGGTAGATTCTGAGCTGTGTCTGGTGGCGTTCAGTTGTCTTCTGAGAAAAATATCATCTGTGTTGCAGAGTGATTGATCTGACATCAAGAGATGTGCAGGCAGGGTAAGGGAAAGACTGTACATCTCTGGGCAGTGACTCTTTGCACGTGTGGTTTCCTAGGCCAGGAGTTTGATGGTTTGAGGTGAGGGAGAGCGTGTGACCAGAGAGCGTGTGACTATATGTTGACAATGATGGTGACCTCTTGGCAAACCCTGGACCAACGCCATCCAGAAACTCTTCCTTTGAACCTCCTCCTACCTGGGCCTGGTCTGAGGATGAGCAGAAAGGCCCAGTGATCATGTCAGTAAACGTGGCTGTGGTGTGAGAGTGGGGATGTGAGGCAGGGTTTGGCTCAGTTGAATTGATAGTAATTGATAGTAATTTTTGTAGTACACATATTTATACCAGTTCAGAAAAAGGCCACAGTGATGTGTAGGTAGTCCATTCCTATCCCAAATCACCATCAGAGGCCCCTCTATTGCCTGCATTAGGGAACTGCATTTATTTACTCTGGGTCAGAAAAACATCTCCCTAATATTTACAGCAGCAACATTGCACACATACAGACAACCCACAGCCCCACACCACAGGGAAGGACTTGGCCACCAGGAAAGCAGCACAGCCAGTACAGAAACCACCACTGTAACCATCCACGGGCAATGCTGGTTGCTCTCTGTCCCACCTTTGTTCACCTGGCCCTGCTTATGCTGCCTGTCTCCCTTGCCACTCCATAAGAAACACTTTGTCCAGATCAGACAACAGGAGGCAAGAAGGGACCATCTGACAGCAAACAAATGTGTCCAATGTAGTGGGGCTGCTAAGTAGAGGACTTAGAAGGATGAGAGTCAACAGAAGAGCTGGAGCATTAGTCCTTGAACTCCAGGTGGGCTGTGAATCAGGAGCAAGTGTGGGTCCATTCCTTTCCTTGTACATAAGATGTGGGGAGGCAGCTTAGGAGGACAGTTGATACCCAGAAAGAAAAGGAACAGCAAGGCCAGAAGCAGGATATAGCAAGGTTTCTGTCTTGCCTTTCCTAGCATCCTGTCTCATTCAATGGGAGAGAGTGGCATGAGGCAGATGGCACAGCTGGGCTGGCAGATGGTGTGGAGCTACTAAGAAAGGTGAAGGTGCTTGGAAGAACCAGAGGGGACTGCCAGGGAGTCTGGGTTCAGCTCACACCTGTTATTTTCCTCATGCACCTGGGACACTTCAGTGGAGCCTGCCTCAAAGCCAGGCACAATGTGAGCAGCATGTAACACATGCACCTTGTTGCGGTGCTTCTTCCTCAGGAGACAGCTGAAGACTTTTTTGAAGCCCTTACGGAAATGTTTGGATACCAGGGCATAGACGATGGGGTTGAGGCAGGAGTTGGCATAGGCCATGCAGTGGGAAAGCAGACGGAAGGCGTAGGTGGCCTGGTTGAAAGGGAAATCTCCATAGAGGTATCGGAGGATGACTACATGGTAGGGCAGCCAGCACAGGCAAAAAAGGATAGTTACGATGATGATCATTTTAGTTACCTTCCGCTTGGCCTTCTTGGACTCTGACATGTCCTCCAAGGGTTCCACTGCTGTCCACAGGTACTTGATGGTCCTGGTGTAGGAGAGGCTGATGACCAGAACTGGGATGACATAGCCAAAGGCAAATGTACTGGTGTCCATGACCTTGCGTCTCCACTCCTCCCAGCCAGGCATGCAGATATAGCTGGACTCCCACTCAATCAGGTCGTAGTAGCTCAGGTAGGGCCCAGCAAAGACCACAGAGAGACCCCAGATCACAGCCATGGCAGCCATTGCATTGTAGGGGGTTCGCAGCTCCCGGGAGCGCAGCGGATAGCGGATGGCCAGGTACCTGGAGGAGAGAGCAAAGCAACCGGAGCTGAGATTTCAGTCAAGCTGTGGCCACATAAACACAAGGAACAAGAAGGCTTCCTTCATTCTCCTGAAGATCTCTGAGTAGTGTCCCTGCATGATATCTCATGGCCTCTTAGAGATATGGTCCTAGGTAAAACAGCTGTTCTCTTTGTAGTAAGGATGCATCTTCTCCCATAGGTGTGGGCTGGCTGGCTCATCTGCATATGATGTGGTGGGTTATATGCTGATCTAGAAAGAAACAGGGCTGTGGAGACCACACAGATATTCACTGCTTGGTGGAATTTATCTAGCAGTTTCAGTATCAGAGGAAGCTTCACTTGGTGATGGATGCAGTGCTGGCTCCTGCCCAGTCAGGGTTCATTTTCAGCCCTCTCTGGCTTTCACAGATCAGACTGGCAAGGGAGAGATTTTCTCCCTGTTGCCAAGGTTGTGTCTGCCTCCACCTGGGTACCAGCAGGGCCAGGCAGACTTTTGCCTTTGGGAACCTGTCTCTTCCATCAGCAGTGGCCAATGTGATGGCCAGCTTTGCTTACCCACCTCCAAGCAACACTATAGAACAAAGCTGGCAGAACTGCCTCTGTGGTGCTCTATGCTGTTGCACACATTAGGCTGGAAAGGGAACAAGCAGCAAATGGGAATCCCTTTTCCCATGTTTGCTTTGCACTCCTGCAGGAGCTGCAAGTAGATGTTAGAAAGGAGAAGGTGGCTTGGTGCTGATGGGTAAGGGACAGAGAAGTGCTATCAGCACAACCACCGCAGTCTCCACCTGCCAGCACCCAGGGAAGGACATCCATGTGATGTACTGTCAGGCCAGCAGAGCAGGGAGATAAAACAGGCAGCTGGTCTAAAGGGTCATAAGTGTGGCAAAACTCTTGTTGCTTGCTGGTCCTTTCATCCTGAAAGCTCCAAGCAGCTGTGTATGAGTCATGCAACGTTATGCTGAAATGCAGACGCTGCACAACATCACAAAAGTGCCACCAGAAAGGGAAAGAATACAGGCACAAATGCCCTGCCAACATGTCTTTTGGGAGGGTGTTTTTGAGATTGTACTCCCAGTTCTGAGCAGGCTGGAGCAGCAAACTGCAGACAAGGGATGTAGGTACAGAAAAGCAGGAGGCTGAGATGTTGCCATAAGAGTTATCCATCTGTCATGGTTGTCAACACTGGCCTGGGCTGCTGGCTGGTGTTGGTCAGGAGGCTGACAGGCCTTGGCTGAGGGATGCCCAGCACAGAGAACATGCACACAAGGTGGAGCGTGAGAAATCTCAGATCTTTGTTGTGACAACAGCTAGAGCACATAAGCACTAGAAACCCAGAGGAGTGTGATGTTTTTGTTGGGAATCCTACACCATCACCCCATCCGGGATGCTAGCCTGTTGGAATGGAACAACTGCCTGATATCAGAGCCCTACAAGCATCACCTGGGAGCAGGATGAAGTGGAAGGAGACTGGAAGAATAGACCAACCACACCGCTTACTGGGACTTAATCTATCCCAGAGGTTCCCTGTTACTGGGACCTGGGAGCACAGGTACTGAAGTGTCCTTCTGCCTGCAGCCTTGTGATCCTCCTTACTGCAGAGGGCTGTTTGACCTTGTCTTGTCTTAGTACCCTTGGAAGCAAGCACAAAGAGCAAGATGGGCCAGGGCACGTTCTGTGTATGGCAGGTGTGGCTGAGTCTTACTCCAGCATGGAACTCCTTCTCATCCTGCACCACCAGCACAGAAGTGGGGCAGCTGACTCAGTCACCATGAGGGAAAACTAGGTAGAGTCCTTGGAAACAATTTAGATGCCATCAATAAGGCCAGAGCAGCCTAGGCAGTTTCCCAGGAAGAAACATGCCTTGTGGCATGGCTGCCCTCCTGCATAGGGTGCTGTGGGGCCCAGAAGAGCTGGGGAGAAGTGAGGCAGCAGGAACTGTTAGGTGACAAATTTTGTGCTGGGCTGGCAGCTGCAGGAGAATGAGTGATCCCTCTTGTGCATTTATGTGGCATCCCCCACAGTGCCCTCAGTTCACCTTGCTGACCCCACATGAAACTTTTCTGCAGTGGTGGGTTGGGGATAGCCATTACCTCACAGTGCCACCTCTGATCTAGGGCTAGGTGATGAGCAGTGGGTGTTTTTGGCACAGTGTGGAGATAAGTTTCTCAAGCACCCTAACCTGTCTGGGAAGCACGGACAGGAACAGCACTGGCTCTGCACTCAGGAGAGCTGGAAGTGCTGCTTGGGGTTGTTAGAGGAAGGGAAAACCAGTCCCCAAACTGCCTTTGACGCAGACCATTGCCACTGTGGTTTGATTGATTTGTCTAAAGATGATAGGCCATGACCTTCCCATGCTCTCACTCTACCCAGATTCTCCTGACTGTCCTCCTTCCCCAGCCCCAGGGCATCGTTAGGCCGTTACCTGTCCACAGAGACAGCAGCCAGTGTGAAGCTGCTGGCGTACATGGTGAGGTAGATGAAAAAGTGGACAGCCTTGCAGATGAAGGAACCGAAGACCCAGCCCTCAAGGGAGTAGATGGTGGCCTGGAAAGGCACGCAGAAGACAATGAAGAAGAAGTCAGCCAGGCTGAGGTTGAGGATGAAGAGGTTGGTAGTGTTGTGGCCCATTTGCCTATTGCGCAGCAGCACTGCCAGCACCAGGCTGTTCCCAACTGTGCCCAGGAGGAAGATGAGGGAGAAGACCACAGGAACAATGACACTAGCAGGGCTGAACTGGTAACTGTCAGAGGAATTCCAGTACCCAGCCAAGCTGGTGACGTCCTCATGCTCCATCATTCTGTGCCGTGGTGAGTTGCTGGAGCCTGTGGCAACACAGGGAGAGAGGTGAGAGACTGGAGAAATGCTGCTTGGCCTGTTAGGTTGATGATCTGTTGGATCTGTTGGCTGGCAGGACACAGACAGCTCTGCTCTCAGCTCTGTGACACACATGCATTTCAGCAGGTTCTTCTGGTCACTGCTGGCCTGCAGGATAGGTGAGGGTAAGGTGGGAGTAAAGGGTTCCATGCTCCCCCATTCTGGCCCTGGAAGGAATCCATACCCCAGCCTCAGATTTCACCTTGATGATGCTGGAAATGAGACCTGGGGGAGTGGAGAGGATAGCATCTGTCCCCATAGGTGGCGCAGCCTCCAACTGTGTGGGAGAAGGGAAACAGAATTTTCACCTCCCAGCTGGTCCAGCTGATGGAAGGAGGGCTGTGAGGTTTGTTCCCAACAGTGGGGCTCCAACCTCGAACCAACCAGCTGGATGATCTGAGGTGTTTGCTCCGCCAATACTGACATACAGTTTTATAGCTTCTGTTTCAGTCCTTTCAGTACCTGCACCTAGAACAAGCATCACACACTAGATACAGGCTGGAAACGTTTTTTGCAGTGACAGCTACTACCCAGTTCCATGTTGTGCCCAAGTAATGAGTTTCTGGGGAGGGCAACTCTGATGGGACACCCTATGCTTTGCTTCCAGTGATCCAGAAACAAATTTCTTCTCTCTGCCCCACAGGGCAGCTCTCCCCTAGAACTGGGCTTTCTGCATCAGTCCCCTGCCATCAAAACAAGCATTTGGATTGCAAGCTGAAGATGAGGTTGCATGGAGAAACTCTAGTTCTCCATCACAGGCACAGAAATCTGCGTGTTTTTTTAGTTCTGGAGCTGGAAGAATATATTTTATATCTATCTATCTTTGTTCACAGGCATAGTTTCCCTTGAATAAACATGACTGGAGTCCTTTTCCCTCTGCAGTGTTTGTATGGGTGTGCTGTGGTTACTACTGTGTGGTCCAAGACTGGCTTACCACAAGCATGGAGATCGTGGAATCTCTGCAATTAATAAAGCTCTAGCTTGTGCATTCTGATTCAGGTTTGGGAATTGGCCTGGGAGCACAGGCAGTGTGTGAAGTGCAGTGCCTGAAGCAGAAGCACTGCAAGAGGCATGTGAGCGTGGGTCTGCAGGTGCTCCAGGTATCGGTGCAGATTTGGGGATGTCAGCTGCTTGGAGTCACTGCAAGCTCTATTTAACACAACCACTGCTGCAATGAAGACAGTGTTAAAAGGCACGTAAAGGCTACAAAGCAGGATGCAGTCCTTGGCCTCCCGTGGACTTCCCAGCAGCTGCTAAGAGTCAAATGCTCCTCCTGGAGTTACAGCCTCTCCTTCATCAGGGAAGGAAGCACATGCTACCCCTACTCTCTGGAACCCAGGTCACTGCCCTTCATTTGTAAACATGCAGATTTCTCCCTTGGATACTTACCAGTCCTGAAGCAGAAGGGTCCTCAAGGCTGTCTGAAAGTAAATTTGCCTTGTGGCGAGTGCAGCACAGAAACTTGATCTTTGGCTGAGCCTCTTCTCCTTCATAGAAACCTTGAGGTTCGTAGATGTGGAATGGCCTATTTATGCTGCCTGTATGGCAGAGGAATGAACTGACTCCTCCGGAAAAGGGGGCTGACCGGCACTGAGGTGCAGGCTATTTATCTTTGGTAGATGATAGATGTGATCTCAGCTCTGCATTGGTGTGTGAACAGCACCAATTAAAATGGCAGTGTCAGTTCTCAGTATAGCCAAAAGTCCGCCCTACAGCCACACCGGAACTGAACACCCCTCACTGTATGAATGTATGAGAAGCAGGGGAGCTCACCCACACCCGCCAGGGAGTCTGGTCCCAGTATCTGGCTGAAGGACCAGCGATGTTGTTACCTAACACCCTCAGGACCAGAGAGCTTCCCTGCGTGCAGCAGTGTGCTCAGGCTGTTATGGGTGTTGTACTCCTATTGCTACTTGATTGCACTGGCTTAGGCTCAGTGCTATACCCTGTGCATACCCTGAGGTCCTTCCGTAGGTCTGAGAAAATCGTTAGCAAAGCCTTTCTAACATCTGACAGCTCAGCCAGAAACCAGCTTCGTATTAACATCCACACAGACTGTGCCTGTGCTGCCTGGTAGGATGACTGCTGTCCCCTCCCCACCATCCTGCTCATCAACAGATGCTCTTCCTTTGCTCTCTCTCTCTTGCAAGGCAGATAAGTCACAGTCAGCCCTCTTCAAAGGCTGATCTAAAGAGAACAAAAAGACAGGGAATACCTCCATGCCTCTCAGCAAATCAAAGAAGGCAACTTTGCAAACATCCCCTCACTGGTGTGATTTGCTGTGGGATCACTTCAGAGTGCTGGCATGTCACAGAGTCTGGTTACAGTCTGCATCTGACTTCCCTTGATGTGCATGCGAGCAGTTCATGCTTCACTTGGCAAAAATTGGTTCTGACAGTCAGGGAGCTACTTCTGTTACAATTTATCACTCAGCTACAAGCATAATTCTTGATCCTGTTGGAAAAGGAATTCAGGGAGCTTGGAATGCTCTTATCAGGGACAGTGGGTGACCAGGAGCATGGTGACTTAGCAGGAGGTGGTAGCAGGCTGCTAAGTGCCTGGCTGCATGTCTTTCCCACAACTTCAGGGCTCTACCTGGCTGCCCACAACTCATGACCTGTCTGTATAAAGCCCAGCAGTGCTTTGTTTCCCTTTTCATAGGGGAGCTGGGAACATAAAGTGGTGGCTTAGTAGCTATCAGAGCACTCATTGATGGAGCAGAGAAATGAATATATATGTCTACTCCACTAGTTCTGAAGCCCTCCTCTGTGTGCAGCCCTGCCTGCAGAGGCAGGACAGCGGTAGCAACAGCACAGAGTGACAGCAGCACTACCCCTTCCAAGGTATGTATGTGTAAGCAATACACACACAGTATCAAGGAGTGACTCAGAGCACCTTTGGTGCAGTGAGATACTCCCAGTCCCAGCATCTTCCCAGGCAGCTGCAGGAACCCGAGGGACTGCTCTCACGTCCCTTGGAAGCATTTTGCAACCGTTTGACACCCTACCATTTTGTGAATGGGTTTATGGCAATGCTCTTGAGTTTCATTTGGTTCCAAACAGTCTTCGCTATCAGAGAATGAGAGAGGGACAGCTGTGTGAACAGAAAGAATAAGGAGACTATGGGCAATGGGGTTCCTCTTCCACATCTGCTGCTCAGGGCTGGCAGGGGCAAAGGTGCTGGGACAGGGAGAGGTAAAGTTGCCAGGGATGGATGAGACCTGAATCGGTGGCAAAGCTGGAACGGCAAACCAGGAGACGCAGGGCGGGCAGGGCTCAGGGCTGCGGGCAGCAGCAGGACCGGCACTGACCGTCGGTGGGGCGGCAGCGCGTTCCGTCGGGGACTCTGGGAACGGCACGGCCAGATCCTGCATCGAGGGAACCACAAGGAGGGCGGGAGAGACGGGGGAGGAATGGCAGCAGTGATGGGATGGGGGCTGCGGACCCTTCGTGTTCTGGACAGACAGGAGCAAAGGGAGAAGGAGCAGGCGGTTCGAGCTCTCTTTTTTCAATGGGCTGCTCATTCTGCTGCTGTCACTGCTGTTCCCAGCAAAGAGTGCCTCCGTTTCCCCATTTGTGCAGGTACCTCGTTTGCTCTGCTGGGGGACAAACTCGGTGCTCAGCTTTGGAACAGCAGCCACCCCAAAGCATCCGGCAGGCAACGAGCCGGGGCGGGCAGCCGGGGTCTCCCCGGTGCTCCTGCAGCGGGCACGGTCGGGTCTGGGGCTGCGCGTCCGCACCGGGAGCCGCTCCCTCCCCTCGCCGCCCACCCCGCTCCCGGTCGTTTGGCCCGGACGGGCTGCTCGCACCGGCGGGACCCGGGAATTCGGGAGCCCCGTTCCCAGCGGCAGGATCCTACCTGCCACGCTCCGCTGCCGCCTCCGCTCCGCTCCGCTGCCCCGCTGCTCGCTCCGCCCCGGCCCCGCCGCACACCTTTATGGATGCACGCACTCCGTGCAGCGCTGACAGTTGTGGGCACCTCGCACCGAGCACGCAGCGCCCGCCCCGCAGCGCACACAACGTGAAGATGTGGCACTTGGGGACACGGCTTAACGGCACCGTGGGGATGGTTAGATTTGGTGATCTTTGGGGGTCTTTTCCAACTGTAACGATTCTATAACTCGATGTGATTCTACTAAATCCAACAGCGAGCTAACGCCTCTTGGCACTGACAGTGGGCACAGCTGCATGCACCTCAAACACACACAGCACGAAGCCCTGTAGGTGTGCAACAGCCAACACTACACCACCTATGAATTGTTTCCGGTGTCCTCCAGCCACAGACACGCCATAAACACAGAGCCCACCCCAGGACTCCCCAGCCCAGGCAGGCACCCGGGGGCACCCAGTGACCCTGAGCCGCAGCTGGAGCCCCCAGCAGCTCCCCTCAGCCCTAAGCCTGGCCCAGCAGGCAGTGGCTGCCTGGCTTTCAGGGAGGCACAAGCTCCTCATGGCCCTTGGAGAAAAGCAGCAGCAGGGTGACATCAGGGCTGCCCAGCTGCCCCCCAGCCCCTCTCTTTGGGCAGAGGCACTTCGAGTATCTTGGATGTGTTTCCATTCCCCACTGTGTGGCTGCCCTGTGCCTCTCCCCAGCTCCTTCTGTGGGTCCTGGGTCAGGGCAACCCTCACTATCAGTACAAACTGGAAGGATGAAAGGATTGAGCACAGCCCTGCTGAAAGGAACCTGGGGTACTGATGGGTGGCCAGCTGGACATGGCAAGCAGCAATGTGTCCACAGAAACAAGAAAGCCAACCATATCCTGAGCTGCAACCAAAGCAGCATGGCCAGCAGGGTGAAGGGATGATACTGCCCCTCTGCTTTGCATTGTGAGGCCTCACCTGGAGGACTGCATCCAGATGTGAAGTCCTCAGTACAGGAAAGACATGGACCTGTTGGAGTGTGTCCAGAGGAGGGCTACAGAAATGATCCAAGGGATGGAACCTCCCTGTGAGGACAGGCTGAGAGAGTTGGGGCTGTTCAACCTGGAGAAGAGAAGACTCTGGGGAGACATGAGAATGTCCTTTCTGTATCTAAAAGCGGGCTTTAAGAAAGAAGGAGACAGACTCTTTAGCAGGGTGTGCTGTGATGAAACAAGGGAAATGGTTTCAAACTAAAAGGGGAGATTTAGACTGGATAGAAGGAAAAATTTTTTTACATGTTGCCCAGAGATGGGCTGGGTGCCGCATCCCTGGAAACACTCAAGATCAGACTGGATGGGGATCTGAGAAATCTGACTGAACTGTAGGTGCCCCTGTTCAGTGCAAGGATGACCTCTAAGTGCCCCTTCCAACTCAAACGATTCTATTACTCTCACTCTGAGCTGCCCCTGCCCTGGATGTACCTCAGGACACAGTGAGCAGAGCTGTGCAATGCTTCCACCAACCCACACTCACACCATGGAGTGCTGTGTGCAGCTGCAGGGCAGGGAAGGATGGGGCCCTCAGGCCCCTGCTGCACAGGGTGGGAGGGAAGGGCCCAGGCCCACATGCCCACTGCAGCCCTTCTCCAGGCCCACTGTGCTGTACACACTCACCCCACTGCTCCTCACCCCTTCCTCCTCCCACAGCCGTTGCACCATGGAGTAGCACAATGCAGAGATGAATTAGAAGACGTGAAGATGGAAAATGCCTGCTGAGAGGGGCCTGGGGCTCAATCCTCACACAGACACCCATGGGCTGCTGCAGTGAAATGGTGCCATCACTATCAGGGAAGGCTGAGCAGGCACCTGTGCAGCACACAGTGAGAGCAGCCCCCCATCCCTGGCTCTGGGATGTGGTACAGGTCGGTGCCCATCCTGCTGAGCTTTGTCAGCTGCAGATGGAGTCAGAAGCAAGGTGCTGGGGCCTCAGGAGCATGGCTGCTGGTGCCGGAGAGCTCATGCTGGAGAGCTCAGGCCCTGCCGTGGCTGCAGGCTCTCGTGGCAGCAGGTCCATGAGGTATCTGGTTGAGGTGAGGCTATGTGTGCAAGGAGTCCTGTGTAGGAGCCCTATTTTGGAGTCATCTCCTGTGCTCCACTGCAGGACCTCCTCTGCTCTGCATGCCATGCTCTCAGCCCTGCTGTAAAGGGGCTGCACATTTGTTGTTAGGGCTCTGGAGTGTGCTGGGAGGCTCTGAGGAGTACTGTGGGGCTCTGTAATGGTCACAGAGACACACTGGGGGGACACTGCACCTCTGAGGCAGGTACTGGGGGCTCATGGGCGTTCTGGGGGATCTGTAAGGCTCCACACTCCTCTGTTCTGCCTCAATGACTTCTTTTCACTGTCCCTAATACTTCTCTCTCCATCACTGTGCTGCTCCCTGTCCCTGTTCTCTTGGTGTCCTGTTCCTTGTCCTCCTCTGCTCATCTCCATCCTCCTTGCCTTTCTTTGTGTATTTCTTTCTCTCTCTGCTCCTAATCCTTCTTTCTCTGTCTTGGCTGTTTAACTTCCCTCTTTTTTTTCTGTCTGTCTCCACATCTTGCTTCTGTTTTCTATTTTTTCAGTCTTCTCTGTCCTACTGCCCTTTCCCTCACTTCTGGCTACATCCAGCTGGCTGTCTCTTTTTCTCCCCAGTGCCTCTATCCTGTTTCTTTTTGTTCTTCCTCAGTCTGTGACTTGCAGCCCATCTCCATTTTATCCCTTTCCCTCTTTGTTTTCTCCTGATCTGCATCCCTCCCCTGTATCTCACACCTCCCCAATGCCAGTGCCCTGCTCTGTCCCTTCCTTCCACCACCCACACATTCTCTATCCCTGCTCCCTCTCTTCTCTCCCTTACTTTCTGCTTCTTTCTCTATCCCTCTGCTCTGTCCCCATTCCCTTTTTAACTTCCTCTCTTTTTTTTTCCCCCTCAGTCAGACTGTCCTGCTCCTTTGCTCCTGGGTTTCTGTGTCACTCTGCCCTTCTTCCCATGTTTCTCTCAGTTTATCTATCCTGTTACCTATCTCTCCTTTTACTCTTTCTGCACCCCATTGCCCTGCTTCCTGTTTACCTCATCTGCTCTCTGTCCAGCTGCCCATCTGTGTGTTTTCCTACAGCAAGGCCCTGCTCCCTGTTCCTCTCACCCTCCATCCCTGCTCTCCACCCCAGGATATTTTATATTCTCCCTCATCCTGCTCCCTGTTCTTTCTGCTTCCTGCTGTCCCTCAGCCCTTTCCTCACTCCTGCTCCATCCCCCATGACAGACAGATGGCTCACCCTGTCTGTCCCTCAGTGCCTCTCGTCTCTTTTTGCTGTTTCTCACTCCCAGTCCTGCCCCTCTCTCTGCCTTCTCTCTGCTCTGTGCCCTCCTTTTCTGTCCCTGTGTTACTCTGTTATTCTCCTGCTGTCCTGCTCCTCTCAGCACCTTTTGCTTCTCTATCCCTCAGTTCTGCTGCCTGTCACTAATTTCTTTCCCAAGCTTTCTTCCCCCCATACCTCACTTTCTCTTCCTAGCATTCTTTCTTACTTCTTCTCCCTGTGTTTTTCTGTACTCTTGCATCCCACGCCGTTTTTCTCTTCATTGTATTTTCTTGCTCTTCACCTTTCCTTTCAGTCCCTCTGTTGTATTCAGTGCCCCCTACCAGGGAATCTTTCTGTGTCCCTGCCATTCATTTTCTTTTTGCCTTGCTGTCCATTATATTTCGTCCTTCTCCCCCACTCTGTGCTGCTTCCTGTCTCCATGTCTTTCTTGCCTCTAAGTCCAACACTTTTCTTTCAGATCTGTCCTGCTTCCTGCCTTGTCTCTTCCCATGTTATCCCTCTGCTTTCCTCTCTGCCCCTTTGAGTCCCCCCACCCCTCCATCCCACGTCCTCTCCCTCCTCTCTCCATCTTCGCAGCCTTCCTCTCTCTGGTTCTGTCTCACTCAGTCCTGCTTTGTGTTTCTATGGGTGCAGCTGCCCCTTACCCTTATCTCTCCTCCAGATGTTTCCCATCTCGATCTCTGCCTTGCTGCCACCACATTTTTTTTCCTACACTGCTGCCCTCCTCATCCCTTCCCTTCTCTCTCTGTCCTGTTCCCTTCCTCGCCTGCCCTCTGCCCCCATCCACGTCCACTCTCTGCGTCACTCCTTTTTTCTTTCTTCCCCCGTCTCCGCCCGCAGCCCGCAGCGCGCTCCCCCTCGCAGTCAATGGAGCCGCCGCTTCCCTTGAGACGGAGGCGGCCTGCAGCCTCACAGAGCGTGGCGCCGCCCGGCCCTCTGCTGCCACCCACTGGCCAATGTCAGTACTGCGGCAGATGGCAGCGCGCAAGCGCAGTGGCGCTGACCCGCCGACTTCGACAGTGATACCTTTGTGAGCATGCGCATTAGCGCCACGGCTGTGGACAGCATCGCTCCCCCGGCGAACATGCGCAATAGCGGCCCTGGGGAGCATGCGCAGTAGCTCACTGGCGGTGTGCGCAGCGGAGCGCTTTTCGACAGCGAGCTCGGACGCGGCTACGCCGACGGACATGCGCAGTGTGGGCAGATTTGAATGGTTTAGACAGCGTGGGAACATTTAAAATGTGCCAGGATAGAATTAGGGATAGGGGAGCTGGCTAGAGTTATCATTAAGGTTTGGATTTTTAGGTTTAACTTAACGGGAGATAGGTTTAGTGGTTAGGGTGAATGCTGTTAGGGCTAATGTTAGTGTTAGGGTCATTGAGTTGTCACAGAAACCTCAGAGACCTACAGCTGGCATAAGGTTGTTAGAGAGCCTGACAGTCATCACAGAGTCATCCTAGAGTCCTCATATTGTGGACATAATGTCCTCACGGAGGCATCCTGGAGTTGTCACAGTCATCACAGATATATCATAAAGTCATCATGTAGACCTCAGAGAGTAATACAGTCATCACAGAGTCCATGTGTCATCATAGAGGTGTCACTGATTTGTCATTAGGGTTGTCATGGATTCATGCAGTTGTCATGGAGTCACAGTCATCATAGAGTCATAGTTGTCACAGAGTCACAGAGTGGTCAGAGTCATCATAGAGGATATAAAGATGCCATCCATAGCTGCAGAGATGAGATCAGGAAAGCACACATGGAACTGGACTAGGTAAAGGATGTGAAAAACAACAAGAAGAGATTCTGCAGGTAAACTGGTCAGAAGTGACAGACCAGGGAGTGTACTCCCCTCTGACAGATGAAAATGAAGACCTGACTCCAATAGATATAGAGAAGACTAAGGTACTCAGTGAGTTCTTTGCCTGAATCTTCATTGGCAGTCATGCCTCTCACATCCCTGAACCTTTAGGTTGGGCTCAGGAGAGCAAAATCCTTCCAACAATAAGAGCAGAGCAGGTCCAAGACAACCTCATGAAGCTGAATGTGTACAAGTTTATGGGGCTGGGTGGTATGCATCCCAGGATCCCAAAGGAATTGGCTTTGTGGTTGCCAAGCCTGTCATTTTTGGAAAGTCATGGCTGTTAGGCAAAGTTCCCAGTGACTGGAAAAAGGGAACTATCACTCCTGCTTTTAAGAAAGGGAGAAAGAAAGACCTAAGGAACTGCAGGCTGGTGAGCATCTTGTCTGTGCCTGGGAAGGCCATGGAGCAGATCTTCCCAGAAGAGATGTTAAGGCACATGTAAGATGAGGAAGTGATCTGAAATAGGCTTCACCAAGGGCAGATGGTACCTGACCCATCTGATGCCTTCTACAATGGAGTGACAGCATCGGTGGGCAAAATGGCAACTGGTGTAATCTACCCAGCCTTGTGCAAGGCCTTTGACATGGTCCTGCACCACATCCTTATCTCTGAATTGTAGAGATGTGGATCTGAAGGCTGGACTGCTAGAGTCATTATAGAGTTGTAAAAAAATCAAGGTGTTATCACCGAGTAATCAAAGAGACATCACAGAGTTAAAGATTTGTCATAGAGTCATTGTAGAATCACAGGGACATCAGTGACTTGTCAAATTTCTCATAGTGTCATCACAGTGTCACTGAGTAGTCATAGAGTAGTCTTAGTGTCATCATAAAGACATCACAGAAATGTCACAGAGTCATAGAATCATCATAGAGTCATAATAGAGTTGTCATAGATTTGAAGAGTCATAGTAGAGACATTATAGAATCCTATAAATATCACAGACTCAAAGAATCATCAGAATCAGAGAGTTGTCATACAGCCTTAGGGAAATTTTACACCATGTACTGATGTTGACAACTTGTCCAGAAACTAAAAGAAGCCAAATGACAGTGAAGTCCAATGAACTGGACTTTGTTACTCAGCCAGATGGGGTTTATTCTGCTGCTCTGGACAAACTGGTCGTGTTTAACTCTGAGCAGGAATGCTTTGAAATTCTTTTCAACCATTCTAAATACACTGCTTTGGATTTTGAATCCTCATAAAGCCTTCCTGTTACTATAACATCTAAGCATTATTGTTTTTCAGTTAGTTAATGAAAATGTCTAGAAATAAATTTAATATTTCGTAGATCTATTTAATTTGTAAAATCTGTTTCTTTTGTTTAAACTAATTAAGTTAAATTTATGCTCATAGAAACAATATGATTAGATGAAAGAGCATTTCATTTCCCTGTACATAATCACAGTGAATCTGATATAGGGTCATTTGTAGTCTCACTGTAAGAAAATACTGTCAGATTGTATTGCCATGGGTCTGTGATGGTCAAATAATTGGTAGTTACTTACATAGCTAGAATGGGGTCAGTTTTTTCAAAGTTACATTCAAAAAATGGATTAAAAGACAAAGAGGTACCAGGAGAAAAAAACAACAAAAAACCAATTAAGTTATTCCAAAATGTAAATTGATTCTATTTCTAATCTGACTATCCTACTTCTTAGAGGAGTCTTAACTTCAGGGTGCACTGTCAAGAACTACTTTTCTAATCAGAACTCAGTGGATACTGATATTTGGATATTGGTATTTGTTAGACAAAGTAAAGTTTCCACATGCTCTTGAAGATGAGGAATTATTTTTCCAAGATCATGAAATGTAAATTAATGAGTCAGAACTGTAGAAGTTTTTACACCTAAAAGAGAGAGATGGTGTTAGGCAACACTCAGTAATCACGAACTGGATGAATCATGTTGAAAAGAAAGACTACAATAACATACTTTTCTACAATCTAATTGCTTTCAAAGCACTGGAAATCCACATTTCTAGGCCAGGTGCTGGATAATTTTCTGCACCTAGATAGAAAATAAGAATTTGGCATTGAGAAACGGAGAAACGTTGAGAAACGGAGCTGACCAAATACTCCTCAAGTCTTTGGTTCAGTGGTAAACCAAGCCAGATCAAAGCAGCTATTCATGAATGTCAACAGCTTTCTTTTATTTCTTTCCAGTAAAATGAAAAGGTAAATGACTTCAGCTGATTTCAAACTGAAATATTCAACTCAGAATAGAAAACAGCAGAATTCTTTGGGTCAAATAATATATTTAGAGTTGATAAGATTACTTTTTTACACCTATACAAACGCTCAAAAAACTACTTTTATTTTTAAAATGAAAAAAAATCAAATGTTTTGATTTCAACAATATCATAATTAGTTCTTCATTAAAAGAATGCTGAAAATGCAAAATTGCAATCATTTGGAGTGATTTCTTTTTTTCCCTTCAGATCCAATTAAGATCCAAATTAAGAGTTCAATCTCAATTTTAGTGAAATTCCTTTAGAAGATAATTACAGGTGACTGTATCTCCCGTTCCTATTTTACAGACAACTCAAAATTCTAACAGAATAAAATGAACTTGCTGGAAAAAAAAAAAAAAAAAAGTCAAAAACTAAAAGCTTACCCAGATGATGATATCACTGTCTATCTCATCAAACCAGAAATATCCATCTTCATCTCCATAAGTCTTGTTTCCAGATGTATAAAGACCACCATGCAGTTCTGGCAACTTTTCCTATGGAGTCCCAACAGCAGCAAGAAATATCCCAGAAATCACAGTGAGGAATCCTTCATATTTCATGGACGTCAGTGGAAGGATGTGACAAAATCTGCTGAGGCAAAGACCTGGCCTTGAATGGAATTAAACCAACCAGCTGCTGGACGCTGTTGCTCTGCCACATCCAATGGAAACTCAGACACCAGTGGTGAGTTTTAGTCTGTGTCTTAAATCTAATATTTGAATGGGAAGGCTGAATTCCATCTCTAACTGATCTTTTCAACAATGAATTCTTCTTACACAAATTTGCTTACAGCCATTTCATTTATAAATTGTGCTAGATTTATATGTACAGGGTGATTATGAAGACTCATATAACATATTAATATAATAACTGGTTTTACTCCAACAATCTGGAGAGCCTTACAAATAACTAAAACCAAACTCAATTACTGCTCTGTTTTTCATTATGGCTCTATTCCAGTGTTTGTACTGGAAAGGAGATGAAGTTGTAGATCACTTATTAAATGCTTCTGCTCAGTGGAATAGCTAACATAGCAGACTAAAAGTTACAAAATCACCATCCAGCAAATCTGCAATACAAAGTTCAGAACATATTCTGGAAATGCGTTAGGGACTTCTTAGATAGCAAACTACACATTAACTTACTTCATAATGCAAGCAGAGCTATACAGACACACTATATGTGTGTGTGTGTGGGGGGATTCAGATTGGATATTTAGAAAAATTTATGTAAAAAAATAGGTAGAAAATAGGAAAAAATGGGAGTGCTTATCTTCTGAAAGAGTGCTCAGATGCTGGAATGGGCTGCCCAGGGAGGTGGTGGAGTCACCATCCCTGGGGGTGTTCAAGAAATGCATTGATGTGGTACAAAGGGACATGGTTTGGTGGGCAATACTGGTGGTAGGTGGATGGTTGGATGAGATGATCTTGGAGGTCTTCTCTAACCTTGGTGATTCTGTGAGTCTATGATTCTATTCTATTCTCTCTATATATACACATAGATGCACACAGTACATTTATATGTCTGTAATATTAAGCATAGTTTCTACAACTATCAGTTTATCATTGCTTATGACAGCATCATCCATGAAAGGATTATTTCTCTGTACTACAATTAATCTCAGTTCTCACTGTATTTACCTCAGGGAGGTTCTTGAAACAAAAGATGAGGTCTTATGCTCGTACCTAACTCACAAGTCTATTTCAAAATTATCTGTAGTATAAAGACATACTACTTGCACTATTTTGCATTCTTATACTATGTATTAGAACATGATTCCCTGTTTAAAAGCGTCCCCAAAATTCCCTTTTGAACTCTCCATTGGAAATTCCATCCCTGGGTTGTGCTGTGCAGACCAGAGACACACCACCAAAAGAAGGGCAGCCTACACACGGTTCTCGCCCTACTACCATAGAGATGGATTTTGAATCCTGCAGAAATACAGCTGCTAGTCTCCCACATGTAGCAGTGCATTTTCAGTGCTTGTGCTGCCACTGTCCCAAACCACAAGAAAATGGATACAACCAGCGAAGAGGAAAAATAAAGAGAAAACATTTTTGCTGTTCCAGGTTGAAATTGAAGCTTTCTCTTTTTTTTTAACTAAAAGTTCAAAGGAGAGAAACAAATAGTTTAAAATAACTGGCTGCTTGTTTGACTTGTCTGCAGTCCTTAGAACAACTGCATTGCCTATTCTAAACACAATTAAAACAGAACAAAGGGCTACTTACCTGCTGAAGCAAAAGCTTCGGACGACCCAGTCTCAAGAACACAACAGCTTCTCCCTTATGGTCCATTTCTGTTTCCTTGACGTCTTTGCAGAAGTTCAGCAATATGCACAGATGCACTGACAGCATTAACACCAGGGGGAGTGTGATTTACAGCCTCAGCAAAGCAATGCACATCTGTAATCCTAACAGAGACCATACAGCCCGAAGTCACCGTGTCTCTACCATAGGCTTTGGATGAGAGGCTAAGTTCTCATGAAAGAAGGTAACAGGAAAAATGTATTTGATGCAGAATACCTTTTCAGATAAAGCTATTACTTTTTTCCAGTGTCTCTGAAAATAATGGCAAATTGAAGCTGGGCTACAGTGGGGCTAGAGAAGAGACCTGAGAGGGAAGGCTAGTCTATAAAAAGTTGTGTTTTTCAGTTAGAATGATATAAACCATTCAAGATTCAAACTCTGTGGCTCCAAAAGAGAGCCACAAGCTGGAGGTACGTATTTTGCTTTCACCTGCTTGTAGTTGCAAACCCACATCTCTAAAATCATTCTGCATAGAAATTTCTTGGTAATTCTCTGATCCTGGGCAGAGAAGGAGAATTAAGCAAACCATCTACCCTGAACATGAGACAGAAAACTATAACGAATATCAACAGTAAGAGGTGCATAGAATCATAGAATGGCCTGGGTTGAAAAGGACCACAATGCTCATCTACTTCAACCCCCTGCTATGTGCAGAGTCACCAACCACCAGGCCAGGCTGCCCAGAGCCACATCCAGCCTGGTTGCTGCAGTGTGAACCAGGGCAGCTCATTGGCTGCAGCAGAATGAATGACCTGGCAATATGTTTGACTACGATCCTGTCCTATTCGTGCAAAAAACTGAGTACTGGTTCACAGCAAAGCACCAGCTCCTAGAATCAGCTGAGTAAGGAATCACAGTAGATGATAGTTCTAGCACTAAAGCCTGTGGCAAACTATTCTAATCAGCCAACAGCTAATTGCAGAGCCAGGGATTGTTTCTAGGGTCTCTGAATTCCAGTTTATACACTTGCTTATTTTTACATACATGTGCTTGTAATTATGCTTTTTGCCTCTGGCTGAGTGTGCAATAGTAAAACGTTTGAAACACAGCAGAAAGATTTAGAAGAGGCAGAGAACCTGGAAAGTCCAGAAATGTATGATTTTTAAGGGAAACAGAACTGTATACAGATAAGAGCTGGTGGCAGTGATATGTGACATGCTGAAGTGCATCTAAGAAGGCAAGGACTAGTAGTACAATTATGTAACCTATGCTTCTAAAATACAGAAATACTGAAAAGTGCTCTGAAATCTCTGTGAAATACTAAGGAGCATTAAACAATGAAGTGACTGTCAGCAAAGAAAAGTATTTATTGACAATTGCTTTCATTTCAGCTGTTGCTGGTACAGAAATTGTTTCATTGACATAACCAAAATGTTTAATCTCAAGAAATAAAAATGCTTTATCTTCTCAAAATTAGCATTCTCCAGATCTCACTCTAGAATGGAACTCCAAGCAGGGAGGCAGCTGGAAAAGACCTTATCTCATGCCCAAAGATACTGTTGTTTTCCAGCAGTTTGCTCTTAATTAATGAATGGAAGTGGCCTGCTGAAGGCTGGAGATGTTTTGTCAATTAATGAAAATTTGTGGAAGGGAAGGGAAGGAAAAGGGAAGGGAAGGAAAAGGGAAGGGAAGGGAAGGAAAAGGGAAAGGGAAGGGAAGAGGGAAGGGAAGAGGGAAGGGAAGAGGGAAGGGAAGAGGGGAGGGGAGGGGAAGGGAGGGGAAGGGAAGGGAAGGAAGAGGAGTACATAAAATTTAAAAAAGCCTGAGGCTGGACAGCTAACAACTAATACAGCCTTAAAGCTTGGCACACTGTTGTCTGTGCAGTGTAAGGAGGAAGGGTGTGCACATTATAGTACGTACTTCTTTAGAAAGCAGAGAGCTTAAAGTTAAGCAGATGTGATGATCTAAACCAGACTGTGGGAGTTTTCTCACTGGTTTCACCTCTACCTAAGTTGTTGCTGATGTAGCCTCTTCATGCAGCACTTGGCTACTGTGGCAAAGAACTGTGGTTTAGTCTACAAATTGGGCCACTTGCCAAACAGCAAACTTTATTTTAAAGAGCATCAGAAGTGGCACAGGAGTTTTGCCTCTTGTATGTGTAGATCAGAATAGAGGATGAGCAACAAAGCCACTCTCTGTATTAAACAACATTTGTGGAAAAAGCATGGTAGAGCCTGGCAGTACTGGTCATCAACACATAACACATGAACATAGGTTTAGGAAGGTCTTTTGGTATCAGCAGAGGAGTCTTTCCATCTTCAGTAAATGTTAGAAGGATTGCATTCAGTTTAAAGCATGCTGCATTTAAGGACAGTGCATGTAAGCAACTCAAATCCACACCTGTCTCTTTCTACAGCTTGGAGCTAAACCATCTGTATAATAGAATCATAGAATCCTAGAATGGCCTGGGTTGAAAAGGACCACAATGATTATCTAGTTTCAATCCCTGCTATGTTCAGGGCTGCCAATCATCAGACCAGGCTGCCCAGAGCCACATCCAGCCTGGCCTTGAATGACTCCAGGGATGGGGCATCCACAGCTTCCTTGGGCAACCTGTTCCAGTGCCTCACCACCCTCTAGGTGAAAAACTTCCTCTTATCAGCACCATCCTGGATGTTATATATAAGAGATGGGTCACCAGCTAAGTTCTGGTGAACTTTTGGATAGTAAGGACTAGAATGGAATTGTATATTTGGTTTGTTCTCCCAGCAGGGAATCAGGACTGAACCTGTGTTCAGTGAACACTGCCGACATTAGAAGTTTTTGCAAACAGATGCAAACATCACACTTGGCGTTATGTACAAGTTTTGATGCTCAGGCATTTAACAAAAGCAGATCAGGCCGATTTTAACAGAGAAACATAGCATTAATGGGACAACAGGAGTTCTGTTAAATTCCACACAGTGCTACTTCTGTCCCCACTCTTTGGCTCTTAATTCATTCCTCTTTATCTTCCCAGTGATTGTCTTTGGTAGCTCCTGGACAAATTCCACCTACATAAAAAAGACAGAAAACGATGTAGCATGATCTCTGCAGAGCAGCTTTTACAAGTCTCTCAACATTCATGGAAAACAAGGAGATCTCCCATCAGTAAACACATCTTGCCTATAGGATCAAGTCCAAGCCAAATAAAGGCAGCAAAGTGTGTATCTTCTGAAGATTTCTTTGGCTTCCTAGATGGTCAAACACCAGGGGAGGCTGCCTTCCAGCTAACCAAGCTGGGCATTGTAACTAAAGGATGAAGACTAATGCTACCTGAGAACAAGATGAATAATGACAAAATGAAGAGAAGAGGGATGATGTAGGCATAAAGTAATGGTCCTTAGTTTCTACAAGTTCTACATACGTAAACTAAAGCATTGCTGGTAGCATTTTTCCTATAATGTTGATATTTCTGAGAAACATCAAGCATATCATCACTGTTTCTTTCAGATGAACAGTGAAGATCCAAATAATAATTTTCCTGGGATTTATGAAAGGATGTTCTGGTTTAGTTTCTCCAGAAACCATTTACCTTCCTGGGATATTTATATGGAGCAGTAGTTTTCTTGACATGCTCCTGCAAGTCGCGGGTTAAGCTCTCACGATTACTGGATAAAAAGGCGTCAGACAGGACCACAAATGCTTTCACAACCTAGAAGACAAGGTCAGTGAGAGTGATCTGACACTGTTAGTTTTTAAGAACTGATACATTGGCTACCAGTGAGCAGTTATGACATGATATGAGCTTGGAGTCATGACGTGCAGGAAGGAATAAGAGAGAAACCAGAGCAGTGTATGAAATGGTTGTGCCCAGCTTCTGCACACTGCTAAGCTGAAGGGAAAGTTGAAAGCATAGTTTTCCTGCCCATTATAGGAAAAGAGCATTTGCTCTATATCCTCATAGGGGGTCAAGAAGAAGGGGTAACAAGAATTGTCTTTGCAGAGCCTGCTGAACATTTTATCTCTCTCTGAAGTTTGCTTTACAGCAATACATTACTCAGTAAAAAAGGAACTTATTTATATACTTATACATTTAAACAAACGTATGGCTTCTGCCACCACTGTGCAGCATCGTTACCTCTCCTCTGAGGGGATCTGGACTGCTGACAACAGCTGTTTCTGCTACTGCTGGGTGTTCTATCAGGGCACTCTCTACCTCAAATGGCCCAATGCGATACCTGGATAAGGGGAGAACAACAAAGGATTTGATTTTGTGAGCTGCAAAACTGGTACCAAACCAGTACTGAAATAAAATGTTTCCTTGGCTATGATAGAGGTATCCTTCAATTTCAGTTTAAACTGAAACTAGATTAAAATCCCTCCTGTGCCAGTGGAAAATAGGTAGGTTGTGTTGTGCTCGTGCTGAAAGAGATGAGTTGCAGGGGAAACTGATACAGATACATGAGTAAGATGATAATACTTGCAGGTCTAAGAAAAACTACTAATAAAAGTGAGTATTCATAAGGTGAGAGGTAATGCATTTCACCTTAAGGACCACTGTGTCAGAAGCACAGCAGTAACATTGCATAACAGCAGGTTTAGAAGAGAAGCACACAAACTGACCCCGAAGAAATGATGATGTCGTCGTCTCTTCCAATAAACCAAAAATATCCATCTTCATCCATAGTCCCTCTGTCCCCTGTGATGTAAAAATCTCCACGCTCGCTTTCTGTAGTTTTCTTAGGGTTATCCTTGAAGTGGATTACAAATAGTAACTTAAATTTTAAGAATGCATCAGCTATACATTATATTATAACACACATGATGTTAAATTAATTGGAATTTATTTTTTTTGGTTAATAATCTTCAAGAAGTATACTGATATTGATATAAAATACAATAAAATAGGCTTAAAAAAACCATTCTGATTCTTGAAAAGAAACTAACTTAATCTTTCTTCTCTTCACCTGTCTAACATTCACCAATCCAAGCAAGTGAATTGTTCATGTTTTCTCTACATTTCTTTATCTTCTAGTCAATCCTTAACATAAATATTTGATGAGCTTTTCAGATAGCATATGGTGCACATATGGTACTTCCCAGTGAGGTCGCTGTCTGTGATAAGGATGGTAGGGAAATGTTTTAGGCTGCTTTTTCAGATCCACGTTTTAACGTTCTTGAACAAAAATCTGAATCAAATAATGTGGGATGAAATGAAGTCTGGATCACATTTTTCCACTTGGAGATTCATGATCCTTGAGGACTCTTCCAACCCTGGCCACTCTATTATTAAGTGCATCTGAGAATCATAGAATCATTTATGTTGGAAAACACCTCCAAGATAACCAGCCTCAACCCATCCCACCATGCCCTCTAGCCATGTCCCCAAGTGCCACATCTCTGCATTTATTGTACATCTCCAGGGACAGTGACTCCACCTCCCTGTGCCAATGCATCACCACTCCTTCTGAAAAGGAATTTCAGATATCCAGAATATCCAACCTTAAGGGGAAGAATAGCTTCCCATTAGGTCCCAGTCTGCACAGGGCATCTGAGGAGTTCATTCTCAGATTATCTCTACCAAATATATTGCTTCTACAGTTCAGGACTCAAAAAAAATGGGCCAGAAAGACTGAAAACTGGTGACAAACACAGGGCCTTTTTAATCCCTAAGGAATTTGAGATATTCTGGGGAGATTGCTGTTGGTGAGGAATAAAATACTTACTACATATTCCGTGAATAAACCAAGTGGTCTTACGGGTTTGCTTCTGACAGCAATTTCCCCCTGTTGTCCAGGAGGCAGAATATTAGCATTTTTGTCTACAACCTAGAATGAAAAACAACATGTACTTCAGTAAAAGCAAAATAAAATAAGAACACCCACCCCCTACCTATGGAAAAGTCTGAAAAGCAGTCAATAAACCTGAACATCAAATGGGGGAGCAGCCTTTCCCATTGATCCAGGTTTGATCTTCATTCCTTTAGAAACAGAGCAGATTATTCCCTGTAAAAATAAAAATCAAAATAAAGTTTTGCCATACAAAACCACTACATTCACATTCAATTCATTGCATGTATTTTCTAGAATAAAGCCAAAGGAATTAAGATTTGGAAGATCCTGGTTGTTGGTTCTGTAAAGTAGAAATGAGCAAGATGAAGAAATACCTGGAAAGAATACTATTCCATTAACTACAAAGAATTCATGTCCTCTCTAGCCCATTTTTCTTTAGCCTAAAGAAAGATGGCCTAGAGAGGACATGAATTCTTGCCTTTATTAGCTCTCTCCTGCCACAGTCACTTGGCATTTGCTTAAGGACATTTAAGAAAATATTAGAGCACATCCCCTCCCAACAATCCCCATTTCCAAGAGGTTCTGTGAGGAGAGCCATGCACAGGTGCTCTTTCAGAGGTGATCAGTGGAGGTCACTGAAACATTCACTGACACGTGGAAGAAGAAATAGGCTGTGTTAGTGAAAATAAGCACTAATGTTTCACTAAGCAAAAGGGAATTACAAAGATTTAACAGAATATTGACACTACCGCTTCAGTCTGGCCATATATTTCATAGATGTCCAGCCCTGTCTTGCTTTTCCATTGCTCAATGACTTCTGGGTTTAGCGGCTCCCCTCCGCTCATGCAGTGCTTCAGGTTCATGAATTTGTAACTTCACAGGGGGTCAAAAAGCAAAGAGAAACACTTAAATCTATTGCATAAAACAAGGATTAGCAAAATGCTGAAAATAATCCTGGAGTTCTGTTTACTCAGGAAGTTATTCCCATGAAACAGGAAAACCAGAGGATTCCTGATTCTTTGGTTCCCAATAGAGCAAGGATATCAGTCTTTGCTCAGTGTTACACAGAAGTAGACTTAAACATGCATGAAAAACAAAGTAAAAGTTTTGCTGAAATCAGCTGGGATTTAAGCAGCAGCTTGTAACTAACCAGGGACCGATTTGCTGAGCCAGGGGAATGGCTGCTGACCTCTGCAGCAGCCCAAGGGAGAAAGTACAGGAGAGGAGCAACCAGGAGCAACAGTTTGTTCATCAGTGAGAAACTGGAGCAAAAGGTCTGTCAGTTCCAGCAGTTATGCTGATGCTATCCAAGGGTGACAGCGCTTCCCAGAGCATGGACAGTTGACATGCTGATTGGAATTAGAATTTCCCAGGTGTTCAGTTTTATACCCTCTGGGATTTGCGTAGAAGTTCAGTAATGAAAAGTCTCAAATGACTGGTGGAAAATATCAAACTTCTCTACAATCAGCAAAACTCACAAATCTTGTATGACTGTCTCTTCAAAAAGGATATCTTATACTGAATTATGACCCTACGTTGGGTCAAAAGCTGGACCTGGGAAATCACTGACGTGTAGTTAGGGCAAATAATATCTTTTGACGTACCTGGAGAGATCAGTTTGCACCAGCATGCGGTACAGCGTGGGAGCACTAATAATGGAGTCAATGGGGAATCTGCAGAGAGTCTAGTGAGTGAAGCAACAAGACAACAGGTGAAACTCAGACCACAAAAGCTGTCTTCTGGATGTACAGTGCACAAAGGTGTAGGGGCCAAAGGTAGCTCTCCCGTTATGTAAAAGCAGAACGTATGTATATACATTCTGCTGGGCAAGAAACCCTCCTACCCTTGGCATAACAGGTGGAGAATCACAGTGTTTGGAAAAAATCCCATTCCTTCTTGTCTACATGAAACCCAGACTGCCTAGACAGCTCAGAGCATGGACAATGCTCTGCAATGCTCTGCATTGTCTGTATTGAATAAGCCTGTCTGAATTATGGGGAATGGTTTGGGTTGGAAGGGACCTTTAAGACCATCTCATTCCAACTCCCTGCTGTAGGCAGGGACACCTCCCATAGCCCAGGTTGCTCACAGCCCCATCCAGCCTGACCTCAAGTGCTTCCAGGGAGGGGGCATCCACAACCTTGCTGGGCAACCTGTTCCAGTCTCTCACTGTCCTCACAGTAAAGAATTTCTTCCTGATATCTATTCTAAATCTACCCTCTTTCAGTTTAAAGGCATTTCCCCTCATCCTATTGCTACCTGCCCTTATAAAAATTCCTTCTCCAGCTTTCTTGTAGGCCCCTTCAGGTCCTGGAAGGGCTATAACATCCCCCTGGCACTTTCTCTTTAGGCTGAAAAACCCCAGCTCTCTCAGCCTGTTCTCATAGAGGAGGTGCTCCATCCTCTGATCATCTTTGTGCCCTCCTCTGGACCTGCTCCAACAGCTCCATGTCCTTCTTGTACTGGGGGCCCCAGAACTGGACACAGTACTCCAGGTGGGGTTCCATCTTGGCTGCCACAGGTAGAAAATAATTTTCAGTTTGCATTAATATCAGCTAATATTATCCCCCATGGCTTCTGGAACAAAGGCATGTGATTAGTCCTGCTTCTGGGATGATTTTCCCACGTGCTTACGAGCTAAGAGCAATATGCATCAAAGTATCTTGGGACGGACCCCTTCTGTGTACATTAAAAAAGTGAATAGGACTTTATGGTAGGATACATCTTGAATGCAAAAGTGGACATAACAGTCATTAAATCTTTCTATGCAGTTAGAAATTATATTCTGCTCCTTTTCTGCAGGTTTACACACATCCATAAGTTTTTCTTACATTTAGGATAACTGATGATTCAATCTGTGGGAGCTGGTGGACAAAGACACATGATCCCAAAGCCCAGGCATCAAATACAGATGCTATTGAAGTTACTATCCAGCCTGTGTCTGTAATGCCCCACACTGTGTCTGACGGGGATGCATCCAACCAGTACCTAGCAGCAGGAAAAAGAGTTAAAAAAATAAAAAGGAAATGATAACTTTTGTTTAATTAAAAGAAAAAAAAAAAGCAAAAGGAAAGCAAATGAAACCAAAGGGTCACTGTTCCCCACTCCTTCCATAAAAAAAAACAAATACCCAGCAACCAGCAATGCCAGTAGAAAAACAAAAATCAAATCCAAGACTGCTAATGAGATATGTAGGCTCTGGGCACTCTCAGTAAGTTCATTTGTTGAACTAGCTCAGGGATAAAAGGACCTCTAAGGTTTAAGTATATGTACAGATAAACACATATATGGTAAAGATACTAGGTCATTCATAACATAGGATACAATAAAGGAAAGAATTGCAATGAAGTGACTTTTCTTGGGGAGGAAGGTAGGGCTGAAGCAGAAGCATGCATTGATTCTGTGTTGGATACCAGGTATTTCACTTCCATGTCTGCTGAGGGATCAGGCTGATCTGTGCAACCAGCATCAGCTCTGACTCTGTTCATCTACGCACATGACATAATTTTTGCAGCACAAGCAGTGTGATATCCTTGGTTCTGCACTCTAAAATATTCCCAGCTTGGGTCTGTCCTTTGAACCACTCTAAAGAAGGACTGGAAGAAGTCATTGGAAAATAGAAATACTGGAGCTGATCCTACTCATATGGAAATCTGTCATAGTTTCTAACCTGATTTCTGGGGGAGGAGGACTGTAGCCTTACATTTGAGTAACTCAGGAACTTTTCATCAGTTGTACTGTGCAGCTCCAGTTATCAACCAGGCTCGAACCTTTCATACCTTTCACATAACAGGGGTCTAAAACCAAGGCTGCCCTGGGAATGTTCGGTCATCTTTGGAGAACCCGTGGTCCCACTGGTAAAGAAGATAATCATTGAATCTTGAATCCTTGTTTTGACACAGGAATGGTCAGCAGGCTGGTTTCTGTAAAACACAGAATGCAATTGGTGACTTCAGTGGTTACGTGGGCTTCAGGATGTAAGCTTCACAGAAGCCTTTCACCAGATTAGACTGAAATCATGTAGAACTATGCTTTCCTCCATGACAAGTATTCCGCTTAAGAAGGACAGGATGGAAACTTCCTGGAATAAAACTGAAGACTGTTGGTAAACAACTGCTATCAGCAGACAACTCTGATGTGGAAACAGCAATCGGGCAGTCATGAATTCACCTCACTAAAGCTTAGTGTTGGTGTTTGATGAATATTCACAGTTGATGAGCATTTGTGGAGAACAGGTCTGCTTTCTGCATCGTGACTGCAGTCTGCTCATGCATACTCACTTGTACAGTTCATTGAAGTTCAGCCATCCCTCCCTACTGCCTTTGGACACCACCAGCTTGTTTTCAAGAAACTGGCACTCAGATGCCACTGAGTCTACTGCAGGAGCCAGGGTGTCATTGGTGATGATGCACTTGGCCTTCGAAGCCTGGAGTCGATATAATATGTCTTTGGCTGATAATTGAGATGTTCCTGGAATTAAGACAATTCCTAGAAGAGCAATATGGTTAATTTAGGATAACATTTTTTACATCTGATCCTTTTCTAAGAGTCTAAACTAGCGACTGTTCCCAAACTGACCTCTGGGATGGCTTTGCCCTGACATTCCCAAGTCAGTTAATGTTGGAGTAATGCAGCTGCTGTGCCCTCCTGTAAGGAATCAGAGGTGACCTCTCTGGTGCCTCCTCAGCTCTCCATGCCCCCAGGCCACCTGCTCTATGGCACCTACTGCAAATCCTTCAGGGCTGCCTGCATAATTGGTAGCCAGGCAACTCACTTGGTTATTAATTTACATTACTTCTCCTTTATAAACGATCCTGTATCCTCTCAAAAGATTTGCATTATATACCAGTTTTACTGATCTCAGATATGCTCACTGACCTGCTCGAATGCAAGCCACGTTCACCAGCCACCACTCCGGGATTCGTGGCAGAACCACAATGACTCTGTCCCCTTTTTGCAGTCCACATACTTTGGTCAACACGTTGGCCACTTTCCGAGAAAGGAATCCCAGCTCCTCAAAGCTCCACTTTACTTCCTCTCCATTACCACTTATCCACCAAAAAGCAGAGTTTGTTGGTCTTTTTCCAGCCTAAAAACCACAAGGATTCCAAAGAAACCCAATTTCTTTTGAAAGACTTCATAATTATAAAAGCACAAGTATCTGCGAGTTGTGGAGGATTCAGGTGTTTCCAAACTTGCATATGAGCCATTATTTTCCTTTGTCCCTAGGGTGTGCAAGACTCACTATGAATCACAGTCAGATATTCCTAACAAACTGCCCTTTTCTAACATGAGGTGTTCACCATTCTGTGCATCTCCAGACTCAAGTTGTCTGAATTCTATTCCTGTTTAAGCTTTGAGCATTATTTCTCTTAAGAAGGTAAAGGTCAACATGAAATACTTCACCTAATACTTGTGATATTCTGAATTGAGTTGTGGAATACTAAAAAACAGAAGCTACCCAGGCAGAGGAGAAAATAAATCAGGAGAATGCAGTATCCCAGGACAAGCCTCAGAGCTCAGGGAGAGGGGAGTGAATGAAGCAAGAGGTCGTTAGCGACACAACATCTGGACAAATACAGCCTTTACTTTGGAGCAAGGCAACTGCACACTTGTGGAAGAAAATTCCTTGGCATGCAGTATTATTGCTATGCTACTCTTGTTTTTATGATGTGGCAGCTAATATTATGGCATGCAGAAGAAATAAGCACAACCATTCCAAGGATAAATCAGGGTCATGAGGGTCTTATCATTGCTTTTCCCACCTACACAGGGAGCACCAAGGATCAGAGACACTTGTAACAAATGAAGCAAAAAGAAATGAGATCCCACATCATTTCCTGATGCAAATTGTTTTTAGCAACTGATTATTTTTTTAATAAACAGAAGTTATTATTTTATATTAATTAAAGGCTCTCATCTGCCCAACAAAAGCTTACCTTTTCAATCTCAGACCATTTGTCCAGTACATCACTTGCAAAGTTGAAGTACTTTGGTATTTCCTGTTCACCACGCCTGACAGACTCGTACTGAGAGTGCACATCAGAGACAAGCAGCCTGGGATGGCTATGGAAAGTCCTACAAGGAGGTTTCAGAGTCCACAATGATTTTAGAGTCCGTAATTTACAAATCTTCATGGCAGGATATAAATGGAGATGCTGTAGACTGCATAAGAAAGTTAATGGAATCATTGCTACTGTTTTTCTGTAACAAAAATAATGAAAAAGAGAAACACTGTCTTGAAATTAACCGAAGAAAGATAATTCTATTATGAATTGATTAATTATTAGTTGAATTCACTTAGGCTATTCACAGCAAAATTGATGTTTAAATGCGAAGTTCCCCAGCGTGCTTTCATGTATTTTGCACCAACGGCTTCTTAAGGACTTAAACTACTGACATGATCATACTGTCTGTAGCTTGGCTGATCCATACAGATTATAGATTAGTCCTTCAAGGCTGCTTACATCACCTACATGATGGAAGGATATCTGTTCTTACATCAGAGCACCTGGTATTTGATTTTCTGAGATTCTTTTTGTTTCATGTGGAACTGAAGGATGTTTCCAGTTTCCATTTGGTCACTGTAAATGTCCTCCCTCTTCTATCTGTTCTCAGCACTAGAATCATAAATGATCTGCAGTCTAATGAATTGCTTCCATTTTGCTATTCTTTTTTCTTTTCTTTTCTTTTCTTTTCTTTTTTTTTAATTTTTATCATTACTCTCAGTAATCTGGAAGATTGCTTCAGAATCTTGCCAAAAAGATGGAATGCTGTTTAGAGTTGCCTGTTGAGCGAACACTATCCAACATGGAACAAAACATGATTTGCCTCTGGAAGAGTCTGCAGAAATAGCAGGGGACAACACAGTCTATGATGACCCTGAAATCTATTCCTTTCTATTGATTTTCCTTTTTCAGCTGCTAAATACAAATTACTAGTCGTGTTACAAACTTAGGTGACTGACTGCTGATATTCAGATCATTTTCTTTCCTATTCCTACAAAGAATGAAGCCATCAACCAGCTTGGAAAAAATAACAAGAAAGCATTTGATTAATTTCTTGTCCACATGAAATGTGTGCAACCTGAGCAAAGCTGCAAAAGCAGTGAGTTTTGCCCTTTGTCCCATGTTTTTAAGTTAGCTTTGTATTCAGTTTATATTGTCCCATATCCACAACCATAACCTCTGAAGTACTGATCACGATTGTATAAAAAAACTTTATTCCTCATGACAAAATAAATATTTTAACACTGGAATTCTTTCTTTTTTTTTTATTAGCAGGAGCTGGTAACAATCACATTTGCTCTTCCTATAAGGAGAATAAACTCAGATATCTGAAGCTTGCATAACTTAATCTTTTCAGTGATGTATACAACAGCTCAAAAAACTGTGTGGTCTGGATGCAGAATGCTTCAACATCTTGTTATGATTGTGATCTTTGGTGAAGCAAAGAATCTCACGAAGGTATTCAAAATAAACACAAATGTGTTACTGGGTATAAGCAGTACAGGAAACTGTCATGCATTTACACAACAGCTGATGGCGTGTTATGCACTGTTGCCACAGAAAAACATTCAGTGACCAGTAATATCATTCATTATCATTGCTGGGAAATAGTAATACCAGAGGTCTTCAAAAAATTACCAGTTGTTCACTTCTAACTTGCTGAGTGAAGAAAAAATGCATGAAAATTTTTAACCTGGTGCATTTAACCCATTGCCTTTAACCCAGAGGAGTAAGCAAAGAGGCAAGAGTGGTCAAAGAGAAACGTGGTCTTGGCATCAGCGACTGGGAGGAAGGGCTGAGATGGGGCTGCAGGCACTTCCCCTGACTGGGCCATGTTCAGCTGCAGGTCTGCGTCACCCCACTGCTATCAGCTCATGGCTATCAGTAAAGGCGTAAACAGAGCTATCTGTACCACCAGAACCACCAAAAACATAGAATCATAAGGTGGGAAAAGACATGCAAGATCATCTAGTCCAACTGCTCACCTGCCACCAATACTGCCCACTAAACCATGTCCAACGTGGAGCACCAGACCGGATTAAAACAGATCCACTTGAATCAAACTGAACATTTCAGTGATCAGAAATAAAGTATTTTGCTCATGTTATGTTATTTGAATACATTTGAAAGACTGTTTTAGTAGAATAAATAGTACTGGCTAAAAAAATGTCATCATTCTGGCATGAATGGGTAATTTGACAAAACCAAAGTAATTCACAAAAATAAACTGTGTTAGAGAAATACTCAGCAGCTTTAAATAATCCAACAGGGAATGGATGTCCAATCTTTGGGCTTGCCAGGGCTGCACTGAGTGAGGAAGAATTGTCTTGGACCGCATATGTGTCCAAAAGTAATGCCTCCAATTTATTTTCATGGAAACTACAGCAGATACAATGGGCACAGTAATTCTGCTTGATAGAGCTGTATATTCTTCTCTGTAAACAGGACTGTGTTTTGGCAGTGTATCAGAATGCATACATTTATTTGCCATAACTTGAGAATCACGAGTCTGTGTCCTTGCATGCCCTTTTCCAGCATCAGTTGGTAAAACAGTGTTCAACTCAACAAATAAATCCATTAAAAATGAATAAAATTAGGTTCACAGCAGTAAGAGGATGTTTCCCCTTGACAGGGAGAATCAGGTTCCCTAGTGGGTGCTTGAACAGGGAATGGAAAGCAAATCTGATTAAAATCCAGTGCATGCATTCGGATAACTACATTTGTACCCCAGAGGGATCATGACAAGCAACAGAAGAACCATTCTCTTCAGAATTAGGATTATAGAGGAGAAACTTAGAATCTAGGTGGTAATTGCATTTAAAGTCAAAATCCTATTCAGAGGGATGTGATTTATTCTAAAAATCTAAAAAGGTTTTACTTGTGAAATATGGCCTTTTAAATATTTCCTAAATTCTACACAAAAAAAGGATATTAAAGATTTTTTAACATAATATTCTAAGAAATATGTTTTTGTTTTTCTTACTTAAGAAAACCACTTTCAGTGAAAACTAGCAAGCTTTGCATTAAATGTAATTTTCTTTGAGATATGACCACTATCATTAATGCTGAAAACCCATGGATCTACTTTCAGCCCTGTAGCACAAAGGCCTAATCCTTTTGATTATTCTTTTTAATATCATCGTAAGCTCTATTATCATAATGTGCTCTAATTCTATGATTTAGCTAAAATCTGTAGATTTAAGAGCATTGTAAGAGCAAAATATACACAACAGTGGGTAGAGAGGAGACTACAGACATTCAGGAGCACTGTTCAAGTTTGGACAGAGTATTTAAAGCTGACAAAATGAAAGAGATTTTAATTGGAGGATTCCCTGGTGGTCTGCCAAAATTTACATTAAGTTTTGAAAACGAAAAAAGAAAACTGACAAAAGGATACAGTAATGAGAAAGTCTTCTGAATTGCTGCTAGAATCAGAAATCATGTTTCCTGGTTAGTAGCCATTGCTTCTTCTTGATGATCGCGCCATTGAGAACTCAAACAACACATTTTACCAACCTGTTTGCTCTGGGCAGTGTGGATGGATTGAGCTGCCTGCAGTAGATCCTCTTCAGTGGCTCATTCAGCCTTCAAGACATGCTTCCCAAAAGGCACTTTGGGAAGACTGTCTGGAGATGTGCAGCTCAGATGTGCTAATTAAGAAGTACTTGGAGTGATGCCCCTTTACCAGTTGCTTTTTTCAAAGTAATGAGAGCAGAACGTAGTACAAAACTGACCAGGCAGTGTAATAATTTCTAGAGTAACCTTTCTCCTTGTAATCATTTACACCGTTGTCAATCATGTATAATTTGCACCTTAGCCTGAAGAACTTTGTATATCCTTTCCTTCCATTTTAACCATTTGAGAAGATCACAGGTTGATCAGAATGAGAGGTAGTCATACAATATGTCCTTCTCCTTCCAAACAGAAGGAGTTTGGGAATGTTATAGGGAGAATATTTAAAGAGAGAATATCATTCCATCACTGCTTGTACTCATTACAGGACAGAGATTATTTTTATTAATTTCTTATTTATTTGTAATTGTCAAAATTGCTGTGGACCTTTATTTTTTTTTTTAAAGGAATCTGATGTTTATATTAATTGCAGTAAAAAAATTAAACTTCCATGCAGTCTTGGATCACTCTCTTCTCTCTCATACTACATTTTTAATTATTTGTGCCTTTTCCCATCCGAATAATTGTGGATTGCTGGTAGAAGTGGTTCTCATATCACACATCCTCAATTTATATGAGTGGTACCTCCATTTTTGCCCCCCGCAGCTTGTTCTTCCAAACGTTCTCTGGTGTGTGACAACATGCTGAGTCCAAACTGCGCTTTGGCTGGTGTGGATGATGGAAATTTTCTCTCCTCCATTTTCAGATAATGTTATGCTTTTCCCCACTCCTTGTTTCTTAGAACCTTTCTCTGGATTTTCCCTGTAGCTGTCTTTGGCAGAGACTGAACGAACTCCACCTGAGTGACAAAAAATGCTCGCTTTTAGCCAAACACATTCTGCTTAATCTCAGAGATGCAAGAAAATATACTCTAACACTGTGGCGAGGGTAACAGGATGCAAAGCTGCACAGCTTGGAGCTGGGATGGTGAAATTCCTTGTTGCACACCTTAGTTGCTCTGCACTGGCCGTACTTGCTTGCAAGGGCAAGTACAATGATCCTGGAGAGGAGTCAGCTTCAACTATTAGGAAAGAGAATCGTGGGTGCTCTCCAGACATGATGCCAGCAGAGATTTCTGCTTTGTTATGACTACATCTGAACACAGCTGAGGGAAGGAACTGATAAGAACAGAATGCCTTGCCCATCTGAGTTTCTGTGAAAACCCTGGTATTTCAGGAACTGGACTCTGATATTACCATTTCCTCTTTCTTTCCTCCCCCCCTCCCCCTTTCCCACAGAAGAACAGCAAATCCAAGGCTACAGCTGCAACACATTCTCTAATTTATTTTTATATTGAAGATTTTGTCAAAAAGCAGTGGAACAGAAACAGGGGCAGGACAAAACCAGTTCAGTTTCTGATGTAATTAGAAGACCTGGCTCTTTATGGGGTACTTACCTTTCTGGGGTACTTGTAAGGAGCAGTCACCTTTTTGACATGTTGCTGAAGATCACGAGTCAGTTTTTCTGGGTCGTGTGATGCAAAAGCAGGAGCCAAAACAACGAAGGCTTTGACTACCTGTGCCACAAAAGTGAAAGGACTCTATTAACTTCTAGATGTGGTAATTAAGGGATTGCTAAAACTGAACTCCAAAATACAAAAATTGAATTTTTTCCTTACTCTCCCCTGTTCTTGGCTGTTTATTACAAAAAAAGTTGTAATGAATGACATATACTGAAGCATGGGAATGTTTGCTTTTTTTTCCTTCGATGTTTTTCTTAACATTAAACACTACTATCCAAAAGTTTTAGAGCAGAAAGCAGCTGGATATTTCATCTCAGATCTCAAAGACACATTGCTGAGCTGAAACAACAGAACCAAAAAAACCCCCCTCTGTTTATCAGTGCCACCATGTGCTTGGTGACAGAACACAAGGAATTAAATCTCAAATACTATTTCTTAGACAAAGAGATGCCACAATAAATCTGTTAACCAAATGAAACCTTGCTACCAGGGAAATGCTGAAATTCTGTGATCTGTTAAGGCACAGGTTTTAATTTTTTAACCCATTTTAATTTCAATATCTTCCCAAAGGAAGTCACAGAATCACAGAATTGCCAGGGTTGGAAGGGACCTCAAGGATCATGAATCTCCAACCCCCCTGCCACACGCAGGGCCACCAACCTTCCCACCTAATGCTAGACCAGGCTGCCCAGCAGTCCAGTATATGCAGAGAACTCGATGCTTAGAATCAAATACATTTCTTTCCATATCTTTACCTCCCCTCGAATTGGATCAGGACTGCTGACAACAGCTGACTCTGAGACTGCTGGGTGTTGTATTAATGCACTTTCGACTTCAAATGGACCAATACGATACCTAGGAGAAAAATCCAGATATGACAACCACAGCAAAATTGCCATTTCACTACTTTTTTCAGATTGATTTTTTTAATAAAAACAGATCATTAACAGGTAAACAATGGAATCTAAAAGCAGCCGACTTACCCAGCAGAATTAATTATATCATCAGATCTTCCAACAAACCAGACATATCCTTCTTCATCCATAATCCCTCTGTCCCCAGTGACATAGAAGTTTCCAGTCATACAGGCAACAGTTTTCTCTGGATTATCCTGACAACAATCAATAGTAAAAGAAAGAATGTGATCGGGACTATTTCTTAAGCAATTCTCATAGCAGTATGTTTAATACTATTTTGTGAGTTAGGTTTAAAAAAAAAAGAGTCACATTAATTAGCAGTCTTTCATTGGAAGTATGTGAGAAGTGGAAAAGAATATTTGTGTGTCCATGGATTCATGTTCTAGGGTACAAGGGTGTGCTCCATCAAAATGCTTATTTATCACAGTATTTTGCTCAAATGTATAATTCACTCTCTTCAGATAAATGTTGTCTTGTTTTTTTTTCTTGCAGAGGGTCTCCACAATGACCTGTCAATAGAAACTTTTTACCTCTATCTTTCAAGACAAAAGCAAAATGAGGTGACCTACAGGAAAAATATCATTACCTACACTGATCTATTGAATGAACATTATACAAGAAGAAAAAAAAAAACACCAAACAGTTTGACAACTGAAAACTTGAGTGAAATTGAAGCAATAATACCAAACTACAATAAGATTTTTAATTAATTTAATTAATTTCTGGGAGTTGTTATTAGGGTATGCTACAAATACCCAAATATTGTATGAGTTCAGAAGAGGATGAAACATATAGCTAGGTTCCCCAAGGCTTATTCAATGTGATGGTCCAAATGCAGCAGAGAAAATCTACCATGGTCAGGTACAGGTGTGGAACAAGCTACTTCTGCTTCATGCTGCAGCTTGCAGTTATACTCTGCCAGGCTGTTCTTGATCAGATGTACTGATCAGGCTCAAAGCTCTTAAGCCACATAGAGAAGCCCTGTGAAGATTCTGGATGAAATTCTGTTCCTTGGTAACTTTGCCCTGGGTCTCTCTTGAGCTTCTCAGCAGGCACAGGCAGGCAGAACAACTCGAACTTACCAAGTACTCAGAGAACATGCAGAAAGGTCGTGAAGGTTG